AAATGGAATATGTGCAGACCACTATCAGAAAACTAATATCGTGGGCTCAGGTTCGCTCAGGTACACGATCTGGTACTAAAAGCCGGATATGTCTTACTCAAACTGTTAATTCGTATATCTTTTCGGACAGTTTAGTTATTTTCTACTGTCTTTAACTTCTTAGTGTAAGCGCTGGTCTCATCTCGGGCATGTGTACTTTTTGTAGTGCAGTGGAACCTCGATAAAACGAACCTCTATATAACGAAGTCCTCGGTATAACAAACGATTTTCTTTACCTCACTAATCAGTACAATATATTGAAAAGGACCTCGATATAACCAAACCTCGTTCATGCTAACGTTTTGCCAGTCCTTTGGACCTTCGTTATATTGAGGTTCCACCGTAGAATATGTAAAAACCGATCATTGACAAAGGAACTAGACATATCGTAACTTCGCAAAATTGCACGCAAAAGTTATCTTCTATAAAGTAGATGTGTCAAGATCTCTTTTTAGAAAGACCCCCTGTATATCCATTCTCCAAGGAACTACCTCTCGTATACGACTACTTGGCCTAATAACCGCTGGGTGATCGCTTACTCTAATTGCAAATCGATGTCTCGTCTAGACTGACTTACAAATCATCTTATGTCTCGATTCAGACATGAATTGAAACATTCAATTCCACCTTTTCCAGTCACTGATTCAATTCAACATTCAATTCAAACATTCAATTCAGACGATTGTGAGGTTCGATTAAAAAGTAGTCTCGCTTAGACTGACAAACAGACCATCTTCAAGTTGATTAAACAATCTAAACTGGCCACCTTGCTAGCAGAGATTTTCTTTTGCTCGCTCCATTTTGGCGTTCTTGAGAAAAAACCTTTTCTACTCCTCGCTCAACAAAAAGAAAGCAAAAAGAGGTTCGGCTCGGTCGGGTGTAAATCGGCCCAGTACTGGTAATTGAAATCGCGTTGTCGATCGTTTCCCAGAAATTGTGTTCTTTGTTTATAACTGTGTTGCATATGACTAATTAAAAATTGGCCTTCTACTTTCATACAATTTGGGGAGTTAAACTACTTTTGATGATCAGTTTTCATCGGCAAACGAGCCAATGCTTACAACTTATATTTTTCTTCATTCGTTAGTCTGACATCTCAATTTTCTGGTTAGAATTGCACTAATTAAAATTAAATATGGAAAACAAAAATGTCGGATGGAAGACGGTAGGTCGGGAAATAAAAATAGATATCTATGTTAGCCAACACCCAACGATTGATCAGTTATCCATTGTTACCAAAATAAGGCCCTTTTTTACATGTTAGCATAGATTACCTAAAAATTATTTTGAAACCTTTTCTTACTGGTTGGATAATTTCTGAAAGACGTGAGCCAATCAGCGGCAAACAAGGAAGCTTCACACCAACCTCGTTCCCAGGGTTCTCCCTGTTGCGTCGAGGAAAGAGAGAGAAGCCTGGAAACGAATGGCCTGGGTAATGGAGCATCGTCTTAGCAGTCACTCGGATAACTATCAACGCGCCGTTTCTCTCGACTCGACTGAAATAGAAATGACGCTAAACATCACATTCAAGATCTAAAGGAATTCACGATTACTCAGGGACTCACAGAATTTTAGAAGAAGGCTCTGTATGTGTGAAGGGTATTATGTTAGAAATTCGGCGAAAAGACAATTTACCACCGTTAATAATTTTGTCAGTTCTCTAAAAAGAAGTTGTTTGGAGAAACTCTTTCGTTGGTCTCCGCCTGTCGTTTGTCGCGTGTAAGCGATTTCTTGTGGCGGTTTAGCATCAACGAAAGACCTTATGACCCACGGCCTAACCTGTTTCTATCCGTTTGCATGACTCCATGACTTCAACCTCGTTCTCAGAGCTTTTCCTCTCTATTTCAAAGTGAAACGCCCTTGGGACGAGGCTGCCATTGCGTTTGAGAGTGCCGTGTGCCTTGATTTACCATATTTGCCGTCGCTATTTGCGTTTTAATTTTGACCAAGCCACAATGGCTGAAGACCGAGAGGTAATATGTAAAAGTTGATGCCCTTTATTCGGGAAATAGAGAGAAGTCTGACGTCACTTTAGTTTTTGCAACGGCAAAAAAGCAATAGGTTTAGATCGGCAGAAAACATCACGCTTTTCTGCACATTTCTTAGCCTTTGTTGCACGATTGCGTCATAAAACTTCCTAATTTCACTTGCCCGCTTTATCAAGTAGGTGAGCGTAACACAAAAATTTTCTTTTTCCAATCTTAGATTCGGTCCTTTCGGATTCAACCCAGAAAATTTCGCCAACATTTGACAAATTAAATGAAATTAAATAAGATGGACAAAGTTTTAAGCAGTGCTAATCCACTGTTTAATTGACGTTTTGATTTGTTGTCATCCAGAAATTGTGCTACCATGGCAACGTGACGTATCGACTTCCCTTCTCTATTAAGCTAGGATTTATTATTTGTTGGACTCACCCGCGCACATGGATCACTGTTGGCCTTGAGATCCTGGCCGAGTCACGCATTTCGGGATATGTGTACCAGTTGCCTGGCTAGCCGACTAAACTTCGGCCGATTTAGAGGTTGAGAAAGTTTTGAAGCGGGTTAACTTTCGAGAGGAAATGTGTTTTGAAGAGAAAAAAGAAGCGATTTGGATCATCAGCTTAACAAACGAGTGAAAATTTTTCTGGTGGTAAGAGAACATTTGTGAGGAAATTGCCGGGGAAAACGAGATAACCAACTCTTCCAGTTGCAACCGCACTGAATGAAATCTACGATAAAATTCGCACTTTCTCTTAAGATCTACGAGACGCGTATTTGTAGCTTATAATCTTTATTAGTATATATATATATATATATGAATTTCTCGCTATATTGAACCTTAAAATACCTTGAAAGGAATAGCCTCGAGCGAAGAGTTCCTTGAGAATGATTATAGCTGCTTTAAACTAGAATCTCCCTCGTCAAGACTTACACGGCCGTTACTCGCTACGGAACTTAACACCAACAAAGAAATTACTCGTAGATGATTGTATCCCAGGAATTATATTCAAGTTTCCAAGTAACCGCGCGAGAGCAGCTTTACAAAAGAGAGTTTGAAAAACTCTCCGCCTGAACAGTTTTCAAAAGCCTAAAATGCAATTTTTTAAAATACTTTTCGATTTTTTACATCCGTACTTTAAACTGCTGATGTTTTTGCTTTACATCTGAATTTTGCTAAATTTCAGCTCGTTAAATTTGGTTTGGCCTGCTCACCCATTATAAACCTGGAGACGATTTCAATATTTTTTTCAGCTGACAGTGAACTGGAAACCTGCAATCTCTCTCTTGAAACAGGACCTTGCAAGGCTGCGACTCCCCAGTATTTCTTCAATCCTCACACTCATGAATGTGAACGTTTCACTTATGGTGTATGTCAGGGTAATGCAAATAACTTCAAAACTCTTGAAGACTGCGAGAAGTCGTGCGCAGGTAAGATCGCTATAAACCTTTGATCGCTATATAGAAAGTAATTTTTCTTATCTCAAACAATTTCTGCCTCATTGGTCATTCGATGCTGGCCACGTTGTTAGCAGAGAGCATTAGATTCTACAGCGAGGACGACTACGCGAACGAACTTTTCTTGATACTGAGTAGTGCGCGCGCGAACTAGGCTGCGTCATTTTGGCGGGAAAACGCTATAGCTTTTGACATTCTGCTACGAGTTTTGACGAAAATGTCGTATTGGCCAAAAAAAAGGTTTTTAAATGGTAGAAGTTTTATCATTATGCGTTCTTGAGAGGGCTTAACCTCCCTCAATACAAATATCCCTCCTCACATTTCTGGTTCAAAAAGTAAAATTGAGATTTAGCGGATGTCTATTAGTTTCTGAGAAAAAACGAAAAAAATATAAGTCAACTCTCGTCCTCGAAACTAAAGGTCTCTTTTAACAATTCCTCATTTTTAGCTCCTCGATCAGACGTTGAAGTAGAAAGCTGTAATCTACCTCCAAAGCCTGGGCCCTGTAAGGCAGCCATACGTCGGTATTACTTCAACCCACGCACCTATAACTGTGAGTGATTCATCTATGGTGGATGCCGCGGCAATGCTAATAACTTCAAGACTCTTGAGGAGTGCAAGGCTTCATGCTTGCGTCAGTATTTCTGTATTATCCATATATAGATAGTTTTCACATGACGTCACGGCGGCCAAATTGGTGTACAAAACAGTGAAATTGCCGCTGTTTTGCTGCTGCGGTACCGAAAAAATCAAGCGGGGATTGAACCCTTTTCTCGTTTTAAAAGTTTTTTTTCACCTAAAAAATTTACATAGCTGCTTATTTACAACGTTAGAAAATGATTGAAATCTTTTTCTTGCATGCCCAATTTTCCATTTAGCGAAACAAAATTGTTTTAAAAAGTAAAAAGTCCGTTAATTAAATAGGGAAGGTTGCTTTTTACTCGTACAAGTTATCTCAATTTATAAAAGAGAGAATTCCAAACTAGTGTGGCCGAAGTCCATCTAAATTTTTCATTTTTTCCGTTTCATTCGAAGTTTCAGCTTGAAGTTTATTTTTCGAGAATTTCCCAGTTTACAATTTTAGATAATTTTTTTTTTTGCGAATTTCGCCCATTTCCTCTCTTTTCGAGATCTGGAAATCTCGATCATACAGAAAGCGATTTTAAGAACGCTTATGGGTGGTGGTGAAAGAGTTAACTCAGGGTTTACTACCCTGCCTTACAAGAAGCAACCTGTTAATGTAACCTCGCTAGGAAACACTACAGGCTATCTTTCGTTTAGGGCGCTTGACTTACTGCGGTAGCGCCAGCAGCCCTACTGGGAAGGCAAGTCAAGGGAGGGCAGAACAGAAATCATGAATGTAGAAACCTAGCAAAGGCCTTTTGCGCCAACAGGCGTGAAGAGGTTAGTGGCAATTTGTATCTGTGATGGGATGTTTTTCTTACAAGATTCTGCTGTGTAGCTTCTCTTTCAGACAGTCAAGAGGCTAGCTGCAACCTCCCTCCCGAGAAGGGACGGTGTATGGCCATCATTCCTCGGTATTACTACAACCCGCGCTCTCATAGTTGTGAACGATTCATATATGGAGGGTGTCAGGGCAACGCTAATAACTTTGAGACTGTCGACGAGTGCAAGAGATCATGCATGCGTAAGTGTATTTAACAATTATTCCTCGAGCTCAAATGGGCTCTGAGTCAATAGCCCATGAGGCCAAAGCCGAATGGGCTATTGACACAGAGGCTATGAGGGTGAGAGGAATAATTGTTTTAGTCAAATCCAACTAGTTAGTCAAAAATTTCGAGAACAAACAACTGAAAACAAGACTTAAATCCTTTTTTGCCGCCAAAAATCCGGCGCTTTTCTCTACTTAAGTGGGCTATAACATATAAGCTAGTAGTAGCTCAACCAATCAGAACGCAGCATTGATAACCACTAGCTGGATTTTTACTAAATATAGTTATTTCTCTGTATTAAACGAAGCGATTTCATTTCTGCCTTAGTTTGACAATTTGCTTTAAACGTTGTGCAAACCAATGCTCTCAATGAACCTTCAGTCGCTTTATCTGAGTTACATTTTTGTTGGGATTATTTGCTTTCTCTTACCAAAATGACCCCCAAAAAATTCTACCCTAAACATTTCTAGTTCCCAACTATCTCGCCATAACGGCTATTTACATCCATCTACTTTCAGAAAGGTTTTAAAGGAGCTGTGTCACGGCAGTCCAGTTCATTTTGTTTAATTTTGCCAATTACTCGCCCTCAATCGCTATTGAACTTAAAGTAAGCAAAGAAATTGCAGGTAAATGACAAAACCAGAGATCCGAGACAAACAAATGAGTCTCCTGAGCATTATTTTTGAATTTGCAAGCAGCAGGGATCAGCTTTGAAAAACTGTTAGGCTGAACAGTTTTCAAAAACCCTAATTTCAATCAGTTTCAATCTTCTTCAGTTTTGCCCATCCGTGGCACCTGTTGTTTCTGTTATGTTATTTTAACCTTCCTTTAAAGTTTGAAGCGGTTATTTTTATGTTTCTCCTAAAATAACAGGCATTTTGTAATTTCGTAATTTGGCTTAATTTCGTGACACAGCTCCTTTAAGAGCCGCTTTTACTCGAATAAAGGCCGCACCCAATCAGAAGACTGCGGTGTCAAGAGATTCGAAGATTATAAGAAAAAACTCAGTACAACTCGGCAATCTCATCCCAGGAATAATATTACGATTTTATTTCAACAAAAAAACAAGACTTTGGAACTTAAAACATCTTTCCGTTTTACATATCATTTCTATAGTTATGAACTTGTTAATAATTCACCGTAATTGTTGTTGGTGATTTACTGAAATTTGATTCTGGAATAAACAGATTAACGCTAAATATTTAATAAACGCCGCTGCACTTAATCGAGTAAGTACAGTAATTTGTCATACTAACGGCCTGCCGCCTGGACGAACGGTAGCAAAAAAATCGAAAACGTTTTCAGGAAAATCATTCAGTTCGGGGAATCCTACAAGTTCCTACTATCTGCCTTATTTTTCAGGCGACAGTGAACTAGGACGCTGCAATCTTCCTTTAAAGACTGGACTCTGTAAGGCGGCGATTCCTCGGTTTTTCTACAATCCACGGACTCATGAGTGTGAACGTTTCACTTATGGCGGATGTCAGGGCAATGCAAATAACTTCAAGACTCTTGAAGACTGCGAGGTTTCTTGTGCGGGTAAGCAAACATTAGTGAATCTCCTCTATAATTTCTTCTCCGTGTGGATTTCCTCTGTCGTCTAATTTGCACGTACGTAATTAAGGCGCACGTAATTTTTACGCGCGTAAATAGAATAGAGGCGGTGTATGAATTATATTTACGCGCGTGAAATTAACGTGCGCACGCATGTTAAAATAACGCGAAAGTGGAAATCCACCTTAACCTACCAACTACAATATCTGCTAAGTTGTTCCTAGGGACAGGAGAGTATTGTCTCCTGTAGTGACTATTTCTTTAAGAATGATTTCCACTGACGCGTCAGTTAGCTATGTACATTTACGCACGTAAATTTTAATCACGTAAATAAAGTGGAGTCAAGATATAAAGTGTTGAGATTAAAAGTGAGGTTGAGCGAGTTTCTACTTTTACGCTTACGTGCGACCTTTCATACATTGCCTCTATTTCATTTGCGAACGTAAATTTTACGCACGTACAAATTACGTGACAGTGGAAAGTCAACCGTTACACTCATATCAATCAAGGTCTGGTAAACTACTTTATAAGCAGCACTGGAAAAGTGTTCAAAAATCGCACCAGAAGTCAGGGCTTCGATCGACAAACCTTTGCTTTTTACAAATGCCAGTGACAATGCTGAAGTCTCGAGAGTTTTCTTATACATTTTTAAAACGTTTTCAAAATCAGAAACTGTTTGTTTATCGTCTATCTACTTACGTTGTGTTGATTTACAATTTGCAAAACTACGCACAATTTAGTACTGAGAATTCTGTCCTTGCAAACAGAATGAACTCAAAACTTCTATGGACGGTACTATAAAATACACTTATAACATACATTTGAAAATTACTAAAATATTGGTTTCATTATCTCATTTCAGGTTCTAGCTGAAATACAAGTGCAATGTTGCTTTAAGTGCTAACGATAAGGTTGAATTGCACCCAGTTTTTTCCCCTTAAATGAAATTCTTGCTTTGATCATGTCTGTAAAGTTATGGGACTAAATGAAATAAATGAGTTAGAAAGGAAATTATCATGAAAGAATCAGAAAAGTTTTTATTGTTGTCACATAAGCCTGTCGAATTTTTATCTTCCGATTCTGTCCATTTAATTTTTCTTTTAACTTAATTAAATGAATTAAAGAAGGGAAACGTAAATATTCAGAGAATTCGTACTGGCTAAACGAAACGGCACGCATCACAACCACCAGTCTGGAATAAGCTGACAAGGGGATTTTTTCACTCAAAAGAAGGTATCGCTACAGCCACCGAAAATTAGAAAGATTTATATTCCTGGGAAAAAAAAAAAACTTTTACCACCCAGGTACAGCTCTCTTGCACACAAACCTTCTAAACCTTTCTTTAATCTCTCCCTTACACGCTAAGAGGAAGGATTAATAACGCACTAGGAGGGACAATTAGCGCAATTAATTAGGGCGCGACCTTCTGTGCGATGGCTCGCAAGTCCGATTCCCAGCCGTGACCTCAAATCCTTCTTTAGAATTCTTTCCTTTCCATGACTATTTTAAGCTACCGACGTAAAATAAGTACTCTTTACCTTTTTACCTTCCGGCTACACGCCTCAAATTCTCCGTTACGATTAACGCTGTTACGTTCTTCCTAGACGGCTTGGTAGCCTTCATACTCCACCAGATAATAAAGTGTCATTTTCTTTTAACTCGTCCTTGCTGTCTTCACCAAACAGTGCTGCTTATGAAACCACTTTCTCCATTTTTTGAAAGCAGTTAGCTCAGCTTTGTACAATTCCTCAAAGCTCGACCATTAGGCCCTACAGTATAGGTATTAGCTGGACACTAGACCAATGAACAGTATATTTTCCTAATATTGCACTCCAAGTTTTACCCCAGTTTATCCTGTTTCTCAGAGTTTTGTTTTATTAAAAAAATCGTACCTTAAAACTATACTATCTCGCCTCTCGCAATTCTGTCTTATTTAACATGTCATCAAGTAATCTTCTTTGATAGCCATGATGTCCGTCAACTTTCGTGTTAAATTTTTTCTTTAGATACGTTACGTAGTTTTCCTCATTTAACGTCATCTTCTCACAAAGATATTTGTTAAAATTTGAAGCATGCTCATAAAGTTTTATATCGACTTCTCCAGTGTCTTGGTTTGTTTCCTGTGAATCAATGCATTCCGCCTCAAGTTCATTAACCTTTTGCCGTAGCTGTCGGACCTCTTGAAAAAACGTCTGATCCTGTCTAGCAATTTTGTCCCAAAATGTTTTGTTAAAAAATTCGTACAAGGCAGCATCGGCGTTGTTCCACTCCTTAATCTGCATCTAAAATTAAAGTAGTGATTGTGAAAGTTATTGTTTTTACTCTCACTCTGCCGATGTGTGTGGCATGATGGACCGTTGCTTGAATCTGAGTTTTTATCTACAGTTTTATTACCAGGAATTTTTGGGCGTAAAGAAACTACTCCTACCGTTATTTCTCTCTTGGGGAAAAATTTTGGCTTAGGGAAGGGGAAGCGTGAGCAGTTTGTTAGAAACCTAAACCGATGAGCCAGGCCCCAGTTGTTGAACGTTGGATAGCGCTATTTACTGGATAAATCTCAATCCAGCGGATACGTGTTAAGGAAATCACTTACACTATCCACTAGATACTATGGTGATTTAACTAGCAGACGGCGTTATCAACCTTTTGAACAACTTGGGTCAGATCGGGTTGGCCTCTCCTTCTTCCCCTTCTAATATCACAAACATTTACTATCATTGGTTGTTTAACTTTAACTTCTTGTAGGATCGCGCATAGTACCAACGTCACAATGCCAGTAGACTTTCATTCGTGAACTGAGTAGGCCTTTTTCAAAAATATACACTATACTCTTTGTGGTCCCTCCAAATGTTTGCACAAGCATTGTTTTCAATTTCTCTGAGACTTAAAATCTCCCGAAGAGAAATTAAAACAATGTTGTTGCAAAAGTTTGGAGGGACAACAAAAAATATTATGGAATTTTTGGAAAAGGCCTATTGGTAAGAACAATTAAACTGGTGAACCTGTGTAATCACAAAGCCTACCTTCTCTTCATTGGTTATCATCGTTTGCTTGTACTCCTGTGCTCGCTGATTGAACTTAAAGTAGACGATATCGTCCAAGTCCCAACAGAGTTCCCTCTTAAGTAGAATGAGGGATTCATCAAAATACTCCATGATTAGAACAAGGTTGATTTTCTCTGCGAGATCTTCAATGTGGTTATTGATCTCAACCAGGTCGTTGTAATATTTGTGTTGAAGACCGAGGTCAAATATTTGCCCTGTTAATAGTAAACGAGTTAGTGAAAAAAGTAAGTGAAGAAATATATTTAGCCAAGCCAATAAGTTAAAAAATGCAAATGCTTTACACTTAACGTCAGATCCCGAGGAAACAGTTAGTTTTGTTTTCCCAGAGTCCTGATGTCATGATGAACATCAGGACTGGAGGGAAAACAAAACTAACAGGTTTTCCCAAGGGAGCTGACATTAAGTGTTTTGTTATATTTCTGGACTTTCACTTCAACAGCATCAAGAGAATAACCGGAGCGAATCAAAACAGTCGACTCGGTACTTACAGCAATACAAATTTAATTCTCAAAACCACTGAATGAATGATTTACAAAGTTCCTTCCTTATAATTATTATCTGCATCATTTTCCTCCACTAGCTGCTGTTTTTCTTCTGGGAACTTCTTGGATAACTTTAAAAATCGTTGCTTTTTAGCTTGAGGCTTCGTGTTTGTGTTGTTGTGTTCATTCACGAAATAGAAAACTGGCAGGACCTGGCAGTATTTTTCCCGCCTTTTGTCACGCCACTTTCCACCATGCTTTGATCACGTGCTGTAATGTAGCCCGAGCGGGGTACATTGCTTAATGTATCACGATCGGGATACATTTGATTTTAGTCAAGGTCACGTGACCAAGAATCAACCAATGGCAGTCCCTGTTTAGTCGAGTGAAAGTCTAGGGATATAACAATTATAACAATGCGTTTTACAACCCTGCACGCTTGTTCATTTTTTATGATAAAAACTGCGTAAAGTGAACTGGGAAGTACATTGATCAACACGCAAATATATTAACAAACGGGCATTGGTTAGATCGTCTTTTTACTATTAGTATACATGTCCGCGGAGTGTAAAAATATATTAGTGGCTATTTTATTTTAAGATAAGGTATAATGTCAACTGTGAGAGGATTGAACACTTCTGCTGCTTTCCATTTACCAAGAAATTCCGGAAATTCCTTTTGGAATGTAAATAGAATTTAATGCATGTTTTGTTTTTCCGCCTTTCTGAAAAACCACCCAAATTTTACTGCCAGCTTTTAATTTCAACTGTCAATCGTTGAAGTTGCCTGATGAGTGTGGTCCTACAATTTCGGACCATACGAAACAGCACTGTCGCAATAAACGATCAATGATTACTCCAGAAGCCTGAACTCCTGTGATTATTAATAGTCAACGCTCTTCAATTAAATGAATTGAGCGCTCTACGAAATACGTTCTACCCAGATACAGGTATTTACATGTATAATTATATCTTTTAACCCTAAAGGCATTTACTTGTAACATTATATTGTAACTTTATCTTTATTTTCATTTTTTCTTCATTAATTGTAAATAAAGTCTGGCCAAAGGGCTAACAGATGTATTTTAGGGCTGTGACAGAATTGTAAAAACATTCTGATCAGTGCCGTAGCCAGACCAAACGGCCAACTGAGGCAGGCGGGAGTTGCTAGGGGCGTTCGGGGGCATGCCCCCCCCCCCGAGAAATTTTGAACTTTAGTCTCTCGGAAATGCGATTTGCAGCGTTTTCTGCGTTTTCAGTATTAATACGGCGAAAATTTTGGTTATCTATATATATTTTTTAACTGTTATATTTTGGCCACGAAATCTTTTCTGAGAGGCTCCGATGATCGCTTATGTAAAATAAAAATGATCGGCGAAATTCGTCAAAATTTTACCGAGGCGAGTGCCTCGGCTGGCCTCATACTAGCTACGGCGCTGCTGATCATGTTATGGTTCTGTTGTGATTATTCAATATTTTAAAGACAGTTTATTTGCATCGGTTAAAAGGGATGCAAAATGTAAAAGGAGTACCATTTGTCAATAGAAGGTGTACGAAAGGTTGGACCTTAGGGCAAAGCCTACCCGTTAAAAAAAAACAAAACAAAACAAAAAAAAACCACTTTGTTCAGTACACCTCGGGGGCCAATACATTTACATTTGAAAAGTATATATGTGTATATGTGTATATATGTAATACCATTCTTGGCCATATTGAGATGGATATTCAATCGTGGTTTCTTTCGCAGATACTCCAAGAGATACTGTTTCGGTTTACTCAGAAACTCATCAAATGGGTTGCTGCTGTTTTGGATCCCCAGTAACATGTCGAGTTGATATCCATTGAAGACAGATTCGAAATGATCCGTTGGCCTTCTAATCATAGCAATATAGTATGAGTCCTAAAGTAAAAATAAAGACAATACGCAAATGGCTCTCTGTTTGAAGAGAAATTTGAAAAAAACTGTTTTTTTTATGGTGGAAGGGAGACCTGGATGAAAATGAGTGAAGTAGAGCTAAAAATTACCAACAAATTACCAGAAGCCATATTTGTTTGGGGACAAAAGATGGCTCAGTGTAGGAAAGCCGGCTTAACTATTGGAAACCAGTTTCGACTGGGCCGCAGGAGAAACCTTATTTAGCTAAGGACTCGAAAACAGAACAGATAGAACGAGCGTTCTGATCTGCTCTTGTGCACTTGCTGTGTAAATCAAAGAGACTGATGATAGCATAAAGAGAATCTTGACGGAACGAAGGTATCATACCCGGTCCGATCCTCAGTTGTTTCTTCTTACGTTTTTAGCAACGTAACAACGGAGGGAAGCAGAGACAGAATAAGAAATCCTGAGCCAATCACAAAGCTGTTTATAGTTGAGAACGAATCACAACAAGGCTAAGGCTAAGTTTGCCACATATACGTTAGCAGCAGTTTTGTCGTCCTAGTTTATTTCCTTTTCTGCCATTTGCTTTCGTCACTTCCGTGACCTGGCCTAATACACGCCCGTGGGGAGAGTGGACTTGAGGTTTGAAAAGAAGGTCTAACTGATGCAATAGAGCTAGTAAGCAAGTAGGTAAGTAAAAAAATGTATATTCAAATAAAACACTATCAATGAGATCTAAAATTTAACAGCTCAGCATTAAGAAAAAAGGTCACAAAATGTAATTGCGACAAATAAAACAGATTAAAAAATAGTAATAAAGATAAAAAATAATCTAATTAATAAATATACGAGACAAAAGTTAGTATAAAGAATCCAAATTCTGTTTTCCAGATGCAGTGAAAAACACTACATTCTTTGAGACACTTTCGTTAAGAGCATGGGAAACTAGAGCAGTAAAGTAAATGTATTTAGGAACATGGAAAGGAGGAGGGGAAGTGGATCACTTCTTCCCATTTTCTTTTTCTGAGAACATAGTAGACACTAATGGAAACAAAAAGAACCCAGTTAAAGAAATGTCCTGATAAAGTGAGATACCGATTATCGTTGCATGCAATTTAAGTGTAGTCGTTTACCTTGGGCATAAATGAAGTCATCGTGTCAGGACTGTATCGAGCGTTGATTAGTAGATTTGGAGACGAAGAGTTGAGATACTGTTTGTCCACAAAGCTTGGATTAAAGTGAAGAGGCCAGTAAAAGTCATAACTCCCGTGTTTTGGAAGTGCAAACTCCAGGTCGTTTAAATCTCCGTATCTGTAAATTATATTGGCCAACGTTCCACCTCCGGCACGGTGAGTTTTTAGCAAAACCACATTTTTGACAGGCCTTTTAGGATCGCATGATGTTCTAAAGAGGAAGAATGAATGAATGAATGAATGAATGAATGAAATGAATGAGAGGACTGCACAACAGACGTGTCCTCATTATATGTTAACATGTCAACAGTTCTGAGCTTGGACGTCAGCCGTACAGCCCAGGTTCGATACTTTGCCACCGTTTTTTAATCATCTAATTTATAAGAAAGAATCATGATACAGCTGAATTTGTGATTAATGTGCTAACGCTAACTGTATCACAGATTCTGCAGTTATTGTCAGATACGTAGTGATCAGTTATTTTTTATTTTTAATTATCATCGTTCTATTTGATACCATGACGGCAGTGAGCTCAGCCTTGTATTGACATTCATGTCAGTGCGCGGTTTCCGTCTATTTGAAATGGTCAAAAGTCGCTTTGTAGAGAACAAAAATGTTTGATTTTTAGTACGGCGACGACATTTTTAAGACACTATCAAAATGTTTGACCAGTTATTATAAGAGTGTTTCTATTAAAAAGAAAGGATATCGCAACCTATGGTCAAACCCAGACCACGAACCCAGACCTTTCGTATCCTTCTCTCTCTCCCTTAGTTACACTACCACACTGACCCGCCAAAATTACCAAAAATTTAAGAACATAAACTAACAATCTGTTTTGCTTAACTGATACATCCATAACAGGTGGCCCTAGCCCTTTCCATAACTTTTAACGTAAATTCAACTTAGCCTTCAACGTCGTATCATTCTCCTTTAAATGTAACTTAATCCAGGGAATGTATTACTTATGTCATGACTAAAGGCTTGGTTACCAATGGTGACACAGACCGCTAAAAATGGCAAAGACCGTTTACGAAAGGGAAATAGGCTACAGCGACTTCTGACCAGTCTCTCAATAAAGCTCTTGTTGGTAGGTTGGGCTAAATTGACTGAGAAGTGTCCTTAAACTCTGCTACCTCTAGAAATGAGCCGCTTGCCTTTCAGTTTCCTCGGGAAACTCCACCCACGCCATGTTGTAATCAATACTCTCATCTCGTTCAGCGTCGCTCTTTACCTCACCTTCATCATAAGCGTTAACAAGACCATCGGTAGGAGCACGAGTTAACGAGACTCCATCGGTGCCATTACTACGGCTTGGGGAGAGTTTTTCAATAGTTAGGCTATCAATCGCGTCGGTTCGTGCTTCGATGAAGCTGGGCTCATCTTCTGAGTCAAGCGCCAAGCGATAACCAGTGTTGTCGAGGTAAACAAGCTGCGAGGGTCTAAAAAAGTAATGATATCTTTGAGATAAAAGAAAAAAAAAGGAAATGAAAAAGTATAATTGAAAGCATAATTAAACGACAAAATTGATCAATGCGTGTAGCCTTCGAAAAATAACACTGAAGAGAAAACAAGAAAAAAAAGGACAACAGAAATTAAAATAAAAAGTAATAAAAACAGGAAAACAAAACGGCGGAGACAAAGTAAAGGAAGAAACAAACAAAACAAAGCACTGTTCCTGCTGACAGGAAATTTTAACGAAAAATTTCCTCTCCTTTCTTCTCGACCGAGAAACCGCCTGGTTGTAAAATGCATTAATACCGACTCCAGAACAGAAAAAAAAAAGAGAAAAAAAAAACTTAACAACAACAACAACAATGGAGTGTAACCACCAGGCTCAGATGTTGTTCTTTTTAGACATCGAAGTCTTACTTAGAACTTTGATAAAAATTATAGCAATGTCTGAGTTCATTTTAACCATACGAGTTCAAGTGGCAGGCGAAAAACAAGTAAATATGCTATGAAACGGATTTTGCCACTGCAAAACTCCTGCATGGGGATTTCATAAACTTCTAGATAATTTGTCTGCTGATGAAATTATTAAAACTTGAATACAGCCAAGATGATCGTAACTGTCATTAATTGATTTTTTTTACCCATGTCAATAAAGGGTATAGCAGTTGAGGTGAGCCACCTTGAAGGCTTGTCATAAGCACTTGACAAAACTCGCGATGCGTCGAGTTGTATCGATCTGTTAAGCTCGTGAAAACTAAGAAACGCAACATGGTATATGCATTAAGTTGGTTATTTGAATTTGTGATTTGAACCACAAGTCGTGAGCGTCGCAAATAATATCAGTTTCAACAGTCACACTGTAATAAATGCCAATAAATTTCGCAAAAGGTATTACTTACCTTAGCGAGAAGAATTCAATGTATTTAACATCGGCACCGTAATGTTCGCTTCTTTCTTTGTCTTCTTTGTCGGACTTCATTACTCCCGATTTTGATGCCAGATAAAGCAATATTGTTATACAAGTGAGTAAAGCGCTCACGTTTATCACCCAGGCTGGTGAGCTGTTCCTGTTCCTCATCGCTTTGACCTTATTCTTTGGACACTAACCATGCATGGCAAGCTCAACGATTACTTCTCACAACATTGTGTAAGATATTTTTTTATGTTTTGTTATCTTGGAAATTGATTTGCAAGCTTAGAGAGCGTGCAAGCAGGTCTTGCTGGTGTTTTGTAGAAAAACAATAGCATTCTCTGAAGCAGAGCTGGTGTTTACTTTTGCGTCGCTTTAACAAAACCGGAGACCATATTCTAGCAATAAAAAACTAAATTAAAAGTTGTCTGTGTATATGCAGGGGGTACAAAAAAAATCACAACACTGTCGCAAAAGATCAAGAGCAAAAATTTCGTGACAGCCGGAGACTAATATAAAAGAGAGGGGAGAGGTTTTTTTCGCACGGAATCAGAATACCTGTATTGCGCCTGTATTAACTCGCGCGTAGAACGCGTCATTCCAACAAAAGGTTGGAAAAAGGGGAGGATCTTGTTAAATTTACAGTATGAGAAACGAGACTAACAAGATTATAACCTGATTGTAATATGGCTGTCGAATCTTTGTGAGCTGCTAGGAGCCTTTTAGGTGGGTGTCTTGAGAACAAAAACCCCCAAGACCCCCTAAGACCCTGTCAGAATGACTCTTAACTTTGTTGATTAGGGTTAGGAAACTGAGTGAATCAACTTTCAGTTCAGTTTGCCCAGTATAATGACCTAAATGGAACCTGATTCACTCAGTTTCCTAACCCTAATCAATGAAGTTCAGAGTGATTCGGATGGGGTCTTAGGGGTCTTTGTTTTCAAGACATCCCCTTTTAGCTTAATAATAGGCTCCTGGAGCTGCATAATAATGGCTTCTGCTTTAACTGGCAAACAAGTTTAGCGCAAGTAGGGATTACAGTTGCTGGGGTGTGTTTGAGCAACTCGCTCACTACACGATGAGGTACCAGGAATCTTATTTACGTCTTGGTCTTTATTCTTCTTTGACTTCTGTTAACAATCTTAATTTTCTTACTTTTTTTCTCTACTCAATCCTGACTCTTCTTTACTAACTATTTCAAGTATAGTAGCGGTTTTTATAGCCAAAGCTGGACATGTTTGGGATAGCTGACCGTGTGGAAATAAAATCAAGGTAAACTCGGTGTGGGTAATGTTTTGGTATTACTGAACCTAAATGGTTACGATCGGCAAAAAGCAACAAACCAATGAAAACCTAAAGCCCTGGTTAACAAACCCAAACAGGAACTTCAACGAGACTAATTAACGAGTCAAGGTCAGCTCTAGCATCACCAACACGACCACCTAAAAAAACTAACATCTGACAACGGCCACCGAACTAACTCCTACACTGTAAAAACAGACCAGTTATGGTAACTATATTAAAAGGTCATAACCAGTTGCAAAAGGTAATTTTAACCTAAAATAAACTACACTCTTTTTTTTTAATAAGAATGTTGTTTTCCCGGCCCAGGCTGAATATTCTTATTTTTCTGCCGATCTTAGGCTGAAAATATTCTTGTATTATTCTAAAATTATAGCTTAAGGAAAGAATTTGTCATAATACTTTTTTGCGGTTTAGTTTATGTCTTTTGTGCTGAATACTGTACATATGTATTACATGTACCGTTCATCGAACTGTCATTAGCGTTGAACCTTTTGCTATAGCTGGTGCAGGTTTTTTCGTTTTGTTGGCTAGTTTCGCCGTTCAGAGAAAGGAATAATTTTATACGGTTAAGTTAAAAACATAAAATTGTATTGTATTTACAGATGTTTCAACACACAAAATTATCCTGATCTATCCTTTTCAAAATCTCAGCCTCGGCTTTATTCTTAAAATATTCTTAAAATTTTGCAAATTTCAGCCTCGATATTCTTATAAAATATATTCTTATAAAAAAAAAAGAGTGTAGTTAAAATCGTAACTTTTATGTTATTGGTTAGATTAACCAATGATCAGCAGTTGTTGTGACGGTTATAATTCCGTTAGAATATCGACTGGTCAAAATAACTTTTCATGGCAGTCAAAATAACGAAACCAAATGGTTAAGCAAATGGTGAAAATGTGCATCTAACCTGAAATCAACTGGTTAAAATCTTTTATTAACTAATTGTTGGTCATGACTAACCAATAATGATCTGTTATTTAGAGCTATGAAGTAGGTTAAACACTGAATGGACAAAACTGACTTTTCCGAGGGGTTAAACTGAACGGAAAACCACAGAAGGAAATGGCTATACACAAACGGCGGGTATGAGTTTACAACAACAGATCATAAAAGCCTTGTACCCAACCTTCAACGCAGACTTTTCTCTTAGGCTGAAGAAAGAACAAATAATCAGCATTTATTATGGGATTTAGGATAGGTTAAGACTGAATAGCCAAATCAACTTTCCCCAACAGTTAAAATATTTTAAATGACTTGCATCCAACTCGCGAGTCTTGCTTCAATAGACTGGGCTGGTACGCGCGCGCGAGAGGCGAAGTCGCGTGAAGCGAGGACTATTTTCTCCTCTGACGTTTCCCTCGACGGACTAGCCGAGAGAACTAATCGTCATCTAGGTGAAATGATTCTTCAAGATGTCCTGTACAGGTTATGTCATTCAAATCAATGCTGAGCACCTCGAAAAGCCAACAGCTATCCTCGCGTGTTTTCAAAAAACACTTTCGTGTTTTTCACCGGTCACAAAATTCCAGCGGGTTTCCGGTATTTGTCTTAAGTGACCTAAAGTAACTCTATTTCGTCACGTCACGAACCCTAAATGACGCTAAATGTTCTCAGTAAATTAAAAATCTTACTCAGTAACGTTTTTATAAGCTTAAACTATTTCATGGTTGGAAACATGTGAGGCGAGTTTACTGAGTTCACTCGAAAAGCAACTAAGGGTTTTTAGAAAATGTTGCATTGTTTCCTGTCAACTGTAGTATGTTACTTAACACCTTGACGTTAATCTACTTAGCTAGCCAATGAGAGACTTGGAATTTCAAAATCAATGCCAAATTCGGCTCTCATAGTTCAGTTTTTTAGTTTAACCGCCTTGCGCCAAGCTGAAGTCAGTACTCTTGGCTCATTGCTGCGAAAAGAAACATTTTATATTTCGCCTGGATAAAGCCCCTCAGTTAAAAGTCAATGGGAGCTCGTTTCTTAGTCACGGACAGCAATGGAGATGTGGCAAGTAAAAAGGTAATGTGATTTCAAATTTATGCAAGTCCGAAGATACCCTGCGAGCAGAGTCTCCTTCGATCGTCCTAGATAAGTCGACTTATCTAGGAAGATCGAAGGAGACTCTGCTCACAGGGTAGTCGGAAGACAACGTCTTCAGAATAGATTACTCACTTGAATTTCAGTCTTTACTTGCTTCTACAAAAATTCTTAGCTAACGAATACCTTGCAAATCTTTTATTCAAAGGAGGATGATAAGAAGGTCATGACAGAATTTACTTCAGTTGACCGCGTGAAATAGATAAGCAAAATATCTGCCCCGTCGACTAAAGACAAATGAACACAGGCAAAATCTTGCTTCAACGACCTTCACTGAAACAGCATGACCGGTATGTATTGCTTACTTTTAAACAGAACTCTAAATCGTTTTTAAAATTATCTCTTTGCAAATAAATAGACGCGTTTTGAGACAACCCCACGCACTTGCGTGGCCCTTTAAAGTTTTCTAAATGTTCAGTACAGTTGCATAGATTTTCCGGTCTTCGGATGACCATCTTAATTGCAATATTGTACTGCTGTTACAGAGCTATCATACGCTATTACAAAGCTTTTTTTAAATGTAGCTTTGAGTCGCGCGTTGCTCACGATGACCACGCACACGCGTGCGTGCGTGTTCCCCACAGGCGTATCGGTGAAAGACTGTAATTTTTCGTGCGTTAACCAGTGAACTTAAAAACGAAATATTCTCGTTTATTTCAGAATATCACCAAATTTGAACTACTGAGGGAATAAACAACTTTGAATGAAGCTCGGCGAGTACCCAAATTTTCATTACAAGCAAGACAAGTCCTGATCCGGCGGATGAGTTACCCTCAACGAGCCACTGCTTGGAATAGGATCTTTTTTTGCTTTCTAGTAGAAAAACGTGGCTTGTAGAACAATGAAGGGCACTGGTACTTTTAGATCATATGCTCCGCTTCAATCATTAGCCAAAGAAAGAAAGTTACATGTACAGTGGGTGAGGAGTTGACTCTTCACTGGCAAGATCTTACAATTATTATATCATTGAATCTCACGAAATTCTTAATTCCCTATGTGTATTTTACAAAGCAGTTTTGGCAGGAAAGGCACTTATACCTTAAGGGTTTAATTTAATCTAAGTACTGTATCACTATTGATCCTGGAGTTACTTGAATTTTTTCTGCTTAAGGATGTTTCTGTTTTACAATCATATGCCAGTGTACAAAGTCTTGTTTTGCAGTCTTGTGAGAGACATGCAGTATTCCAGTTGAAATTTGCTATAGTTTAGGAAACAGGGCTGATTGTTTAATCATTCCTTGTTCTGCTTTAAATACTTGTATTAAGAAACATAAGCATTTTTTACTTGCAATGTTGTATGATTATCTTTTTTATGAAGTTAGTGGTCAACTATGTTGTTGTTGTTGTTTGTAGAGAACGGTTAACATAACCATTAAAAGTGTTGCTGAAGACTATTATTGTGAGGTTAATGTAATTCATTATTATCAGTTAAAACAACCGTTTTCTTCTAACCCATATGGAATGGTTAAAGCTACCACCTCTTGACTATTTTAAATGGGTTACCACAGATTCATCGCTAGTACCCAAAAAACTGGTTTACCATGACCGCAGAAAATGGTTATTATAACTTATCTGTATGGGCTGAAACATATTTATCTTTTTATTTCGGTTATAACAACTAAAAATTTCAAGTTAGTTTAACCAAAAAGTAGAGGTTATGACAAACAAGTCATAAGAAGTGGCGTGGGCTGTGGTAGAAACAACCATTTTTAAGGGTTAATATAACCCATAAAGAAAAGTTATTTCAACGGAAATAAAAAATGGTTAA